TGGAGCAAAATAGGAATAAACATAAAGTTTATTACCTTGTTATTTACCTCAAGTATCTATGACATATATAGAAATAATGTTATGGTATTTCCTTCTTCAGCTTCCAATCATATATAAAAATAATGTTAAATTTTGGTATATTTCTTCCCAACTAATTAAGTTATTTCCTCATATGTACATTCCCTTATTACCCATTTACCTTATGGTAGCGAAACAAATTTAGTAAAAGCATAATAATTATTAATAAAATTATTTTGAGTTCTTTTCCAAAAATATACTTTTATTTTAGGTATATCCCCTCTATACTATTTTAGTTGGATTTTATTATAAATAAACTATTCATTTTAGCAAATTAAAAGATATTTTTCTTCCAATATTATCTTTATCACTTAAAAGTTATATAAATTAATAATAGTCCAACTTAAATTTTCAAAACATATTTAATCTAGTCAAAGGGACACAGAATTTGGTCAAACATGTAATTCATTGGTATCATTTGATGTATAAATCTAGTCAAAGGGACATAAAATTTGGGCTATGAACTTGAGTTCACTAGCAAACCATTTTCAAAGAGACCTTCAAGAAAATGGTTTACCAAGAGTTGAAATCTGTTTTTTTTTTCTAAGTCAATAGTCAAAAATACATTTAATATATTTTTATTTGTATTTTTAGTTTTATGTGTATAAAGTTTTTATCTGAACTATCACCATATATTTTATCGAATAGCATCTCAACTTGTTCATTTTCTGTACTTGCACCATTGTTAGGTTGAAAAAGTGAACGACTAATATTTAAAGTAAGTTTCAAAAAACATTTGATAATAGTTTAATTAGAAAACTCATATATCTAAAAGGTCAAATATAAAATTCAATAGTTTAGAATATTTTAAATATATTTTTTACCGTTTACTGTCCATTTTTACACACTATTCCTAGTAATATCATCTCTAAATGAATGGTATCTTGCATTAGAGTTTGGATGTAATGACCCTAAAGGTCATTTTTGGAAATTTTCAAAAAATGATCATTTTACCCCTCCCGATAGTTGCCCCGAGTCCTAATTGTTGTATTTTCGAAGTTTGGTTTGAAGGAAAATTGATGAAAAGTTGAGTTTTTAAGAGTTAAAGTTTGGTTAAAAGTGTTATTTCGAGTCATTTGGAGTTTCGAGACTTGAATCGGATTTTCGTCGATTCCAGCAGTTTTAGAATGTCGAAATGGGTCTATGAGGATTCACGGAGTCGAATTTGGAGTTAAAACGAAGATTTGAGGTCCTAAGTTGCTAAAATTGTGAAATTTTGATCAAAAGTTGACTTTGGTCAACAAACGAGGTTCCGATGCTCGAAATGGAATTTCGAGGGCACCGTTGGATTCAGGGGGTGATTCTAAGTCTAGAATGAGTCTTGGTTGAATTTTTAGAGGCCCCGAGTGCGTTTCGAGTTTTTGAGCATAAAGTTAGTTTCTTGACGCCTTATCGGATACCGGGTCAAGGAGACCTCGAATTCAAATTCCGACGATTTCATTGAGTCCGAAATGTCATTTTCAAGCTAGTAGCATATTTGGTTTGTGTTCGGAAGTGCCAAATGAGTTTTGGGTGAGTTTTTAAGCTTCTTGGATGCTTTGACACTATTTCAGCAAATTGTGGCAACTAAAGGGTTCATTATTAGTTTTAAAGGTCGAAAAATCTTTCCGAAGGTTCTAAAATTTTGAGCATGAATTATAAGACTTATCTGCAAATTTTGGTGCATTTTCGCTAACCCGAGATTGGACTTTTATCGTAAATAAGAAATAATTGTTTACCGAGTAGAAATGATATTTGACTGGGCAAACGAGCATGAAATTGAGCTCCGATTGAATGAGTAGGTCCGTATCATTATTTAAGACATTTACAAAAAAGAATCGGGTCATTTCACTATCGTATGAGGAAATTACGGCCTTTTTAGTGAAAGATTAACTGCTGTTTTTCTGGTGCATAACAGCCATGTACTGTTATAAAAATCTCAGATTGTGTTCATTTGGTATTTTGAGCATATCGGGAGTTCTAGAGATCGGAATGGAGTGATTCTTACGGGTTTCTTCTTGAATTAATATGAGGGTTAGTATTCAATCTTCAATTCGACATTTTCTCATAATTTCTTTATTTGGTTTTTTTTCCTATCCGTAAATCTCTTGGGAAAAATTGGGGTTTTATCGATTTGGACTCCCTTTTTGATGAAAAAGGTATATTTACGATCCTTATGTTATGGGTAAACTGATTTAAACATAAAATTATTGATTCATCGATTATTTTCATCATATTAACCGCGTACAATTTGAACTTTCCCGGTAAAGTTAAAGTTTGATAAATTGAGAATTTCAAGGTCGATCTTAACTCCGTTTTTGATGAAATTTCATATTTGAACTTATCTAAGCATGGGTAAGATGTTTTTCAAGAGATATTTCATTTTCGAGTCGGGGTTTCGGATCCGAATATTTTAGGCTTCTTCAAGAACGTGAATTTTCTTTCAAATTGAGTTTGTGAATGGATTTCAACTCCGTTTTCAAATTGGTTTTCACCATTAGCTTCCAAATACTTTAAGGATCATTTTACATAAAAATTTCCAGATTTGGGTATCGTTTTCCGGTATGAGACTTTTGGACCGTTTTGCCCTTTTTCCCTAAATTTCTTGATTTTGGTGTCATTGGACTCGAATTGTGATTGTGAATAATTGTTTGAATAGATTATCGTGATCCGGATTATACTCGGAAAGGAAAGGCTCAAGTCAAGTAACTTTTGGAGTTCGTTTTAAGGCAAGTGGCTTCCAAACTTTATAAAACCCTTAGACTACGCATGACTACTTTCCTAATTGTGTTGGGGAGTAATGGGGATTGATGATGGGTTTTATTTGTTGATTGAAATTGTTGTAAATGAAAGATGGGGAATAAAACGAGCTAAATGTGTTATATGTGACTTGAATTTGTTGAATAAGTCATGTGATAACTGATATTGAGGGGATAGAAGAGCATGAGTAGGCTATGATTGATACAGACATTGATGTTGAGACAGATGATGTGTAATACTATGATGCGGTCGTGATATGGTTGTGATTGAGACAGATGATGTGTAATATTATGATGTGGTTGTGATATGGTTATGATTGAGACATGTGATGTGTAATACTATGATGTGGTCGTGATATGGTTGTGATTGAGACAGATGATGTGTAATACTATGATGTGATCGTGATATGATTGTGATTGATGACATGTGCATATTCATTATTCATCCCATGTGTGAACTATCTGTTGCATGAGTTCTGAGACACTGATATGAGGATGGATGGATATGAGACACAGTTGAGACTAGCTCCGGCTAGCGATTTGGATGCCGATGGGATCTGGTTCCGGCGGTGATACATGGTCCATGTGTGGCCTCTATGGGTTCTGATTTGAGTATTCAGTGCGGACTGATTACGTCAACAGATGTGTATCGTAGGACAGACATGCATCACGACTACATGACATCATTATTGCATTTTGCATCGCATTTGCGTTATCTTTGTCTGTGATGTGTGGATTGTATAGGTTTACCTTTTTTATGTGGAATTTGATCTACTTGCTCTTATTTGTTGATCTGAGGTTGATGAGGATATATTGTTGGTTCTGGCTGTTGAATATGATCTGTTTAGTATAGGTTGGTTGGTTTGCTGCTAGATTGAAGTTTCGGTGGTTCGGTTGGGATTGAAAGGAGTTGTTTGTAACTACTAGTTTTGCTTAGTTTAGAGTTACTTGCGAGTACCTGTGGTTTTCGGTACTCACCCTTGCTTCTACACAATTGTGTAGGTTGACAGCTCTCTCTCAGATTCGGCTTAGTATTTTCTTTAGCAGATTGAGCTTCGGGACATACTTGAGAGGTAGCGGTTCATTCCATACGTGCCCTTGAGTTATCTTTACTTTCAGTTTTGTTCTATTCGAGAACTATACTCTGAGACTTGTATTTTTTTTATTCGAATTCTGTATTTAGAGGTTTGTACATGTGACAACCAAATTCTGGGTATTGTTGAGTCTTAATTAAAGTCTTCCGCTTATTTATTATCTTTATTTTCGTATTTCTACTTCTCTATCGTTGTGGTTGGGTTAGGCTGACGTGTCCGGTGGGAAATGGACACGTGCCATCACATTCGGATTTGGGGTGTGACATTGGAATTATGAACAATAATTTTATATAATTAACTAGCGAATATAATTATTTTGATGAATCAATCTAATATGTAACTTACCTCTATTATATTAAAATTACTTTTTTTTTTAAAAAATAAAAATTGATTTGAGACCAGTTTAAATGAAAGCAATATGAATACCAAGTGGGGTAAATCAAATGAGTACAAACAATATGTACGTATTCAATATTGCTCATAAAAAATTTCTTATTTTCCATTTTAGAATAAACACCATTTATATAGTTATATTTTTTTAAGGTATAATATATAAATATATTTTATAACTTGACCTTATAATATTTATACTCTCTAATTTTGGATGTGCACAAGTAAAAATTTAAATTTGTATAAAACTGGACAAAATAGATATATATATTCGTCTTATGTGACATCAAACATGACAATTTGTGTCATACATGATGTCTTATGTATTATGCCACATAGAATACATGTCTCTACTTGTTAAATTTTATAAAAGTTTAAATATTTATTTGTCTACACCCATAGTTGAAAGTCAGTTGAAACCAAGTTAGAAAAATATATTTATGTACAAAATAACAATATGCTCAGTATAATTTTATGATTAGGGACTTGAAAGAGTAAAGCGTAATATTATCCCATCAAAAAATAAAAACATTGTTTTCGATAGATGCTCGACTTAATTTTGGCAAACATATATAGTACTACCACTAAGTCCACTCTGTTAAATCTAATCAGACGGCCACAATCCACCCAAGAAATTGTTTACAAATACACACTCCCACACTTTATAATTTCTCATTCCAATTTTGAAAAACCTCCAAAACTGAAAAACCGTTTTCCGATGGCTAACCGCCTTACTCTCTTTCTCATCCTCTCCATTACCGCCGTCTCCACCGCCGCCGTCGATTCCGCCACCAATACCACCGCCACCGTTGATATCGTCTCCACCGCCGTCCACTCCAGAAAACCGGCGAAAAACACCGCCCGCACGAAATACTCCATTTCCCCATATGAACTGAACAGCCTTCTGAGTGTCTTAAGGTACAGCGGTTACCCTCTTTTTAGCAACGCAATCGACACCTCCGATATCCAATTCCAAATTCTCACCGGTCACACCACACTCGCCGACTCTTCATCGGTGGCGGCGGGATCATTCACTATCTTCGCACCGAGAGATCATTTCCTGTATACTCTCGATATGGCTTCCAATGCTGATGCTTACGTGGCGGCACTCCGATCCCACGTCATCCCTTCTCGCCGACTCACAATCACTGAACTCCGCAACCTTACTTCTCCATACCTCGATACCCTTCTTCCCCATTACAGTATTTTGGTGGAAACGAGTAGGGGCGACGACGATATTGTCACTATTGATGGGGTTCGGGTTTCGGATCCGAATCTTTTTGTCGGGTCGAGATTTGTTGTTCATGGGTTAGATGGGATTCTTCTGACTGGATTTAACATGTATGAGGACACTCTGAGCCAGATGGGAAAAGGGTTTTTTGCACCGGAGAAAGTGGAGCCCTTCGCTCATAAATCTGGCCGGCATTCTGCGTCGGCGGTGAAGAATGGGGGGTTTTCTAGAGTAATGAGGAAGCATCGGAAACTGCAGTATCGCCGGATTTGGAAGAGTAATTACAATGTCCGGCGTAATGGCGGAGAAGATGATTTCTAGGGGCATTACTATAAATCTCAAGTTTCTTCTGGGGTAAAATTGTCTTTTTCCGAGGAATTTCAATATTGAACAGAAATAGAAAATAGTCAGAAATTGTATTTTCTCTTTTACGTGAATATATTCACAAATTGTGAAATATCAATGAAAATGAAAAATAATTGTTCTGTAAATTTCCATTTTGGAGATGAGAAATTACTCTATTCTTTCACTTTATTTTTGTTGTTTCATATAATTTTCCACCATACTTTTTTAAGCATTAATATTAATAAATAATTCTTTAATTTCAACTTATCACAAAATTTTAAAAACACGTTAATACATTATATGACATGTTTTTCATTTAAGTTACACAATTTAAAAATCTTTTTTTAGTGTGTATAATCACGTTAAGAAACATAAAATGAAACGGAGGAATATAGAACTCGGATAAGAAAATTGGATAAATTGTAGTGTGATATTATTTCAATTTATGTGATATACTTTCTTTTTTAGTTCCCTCCATGAAAAATAAAATCATCTTTCTAAAATCTCCTTTTAAGCTTTATGAATTTATTTATTATAGTCACACAAATGGTCATAAATTATTTTGAAATCAAAAAAATCAAGAGTCCTATTTTTTTTTCTTTAACCTTTATGGCAACTTGGCAAGTCGTCACATAAACTTGTCATAAAATAAGTATTTTTCTGTCTCAAATTATTTATCGTGATATTTAAAAATAGTGTGTCTAAAATTATTTATCATTTTATAAATGCACAACAAACTTACTTGTTTTTTATATTTTATTTTTAGTAGTAACTGTTCTTAAAATATAAATGGGGATAAACTTGTCAAATACCCATTCTAAATAATGTTATCCGAAAGAAAATGTAAAAGAGAAACACGACACAGATCAAGGGATTAAATAATTTTACTCTATAAATTATACCATGACCAGATCATAAGGAAATTGTGCACTATAAACTCAAAGCATCAAACATATATGTCAAAGTTTAATATATTCTTCCATAATATTCGTGTTACATAACAACTTTAAAAAACCCTTTTTATTTTTGCAACATTAAAATTAATTAATCTACTTATGGAGCCAAATTAGGAGTTGAAGGAGACTCACTAGCATCACAATATCCATGTAAAATATCACCTTCTTCAGAAGTAAAACCAAGAGAACTAAGCATAGATGGCCAACATTGACGTTCAATAATTCTTATAGCACCACAACAATTTTGACCTAGATAGGTTTCACCATTAACGAAGAAAAGCACGATTTCCCCCGTACATGCTTGGAGCTCGAATAATGAATCCCAACATTCCGATGAGTCTTCTTCTTCATTTTGTAATTTTAAACGTGTCATAAGTGTAGTAGTATGACCAATACTACTAAATGTGGTTAAAGGTCGAGCTTGAAGAATATTAATCCATGAAACTAGGGTAAGTAATAGTACAATTTTGAAGATCATTAGAGTACTATTCATCATGTTGTTAATTAGCAAAAAAAATAGTGGGATTTGTGTGATTAATTGTATAAGAAAAACTATGGAGGACGTGTGGGATTATATAGTGCTATAGGGATTTATGATAGGAAGGTGAAGAGTTAATATTATGTGGGAAATTAATGAAATACATGAGAGGTTTAATTTTTGTATAACCGATATATTATGTGGGAAGTTAATCAAATATATGATTAGTGGTCCAATTAAACGTTAGCATCTCAAGGGTTTTTATAAGTTTCGATAGTACTTCTTCTGTTTTATATTACTTGACTCATGTTGACTTGACACACCCTTTAAGAAATATTTAATTAAAGGTTTATTTTACAAAACTAACTTTATTAATAATGTTTTGAAACTTTAAATTTGACTATTACAATTACTTTATGTAGCTATAATAATCCAAATGTTATAATCAAGTTAAAACTAATCAGTATCCAAATGTTCAAAACGTACACTCAGTACAATGTATGAGCTTAATTACAAGAAACGCCCAAATAATTGAAGGTAAAGCTTGTGGATTTTTTTAAAATTAAATGTGAATTTTACTAAACTAACTTTATTAATGATAATTTGAAACTCTAAATTTGACTATTACTATTTTATGTAGCTATTTAATAATACGGATAAATTGAGAAAAATATAACATAATTCTAATGATTATATAAATTGAACAAGCAAATTGAAATGACTATTTTTAGTATGAATGTCAAGTAATATGAAATGGATGGAGTAAAACATAAGTCCACCCTCATTGTCTTGGGGAGGTCTTATTATTGGACGGATCCAATATTATGATATAGGTTGCATTATTATAACTATATCTCAATCTCAAACTCGTTCGAAATTTTCATTTTGTCTATCCATTAAAATAGCACGTGTCCATTCAACATTACCACTTCGCTACTTCTCAAACATTTCTTACAACTATACATAGTTGGATTTAGAAGAATAAGATCTATACAACCCTTATCTTTATTTTATAAGATAAGTTATCACCAACAACTATGGTCAGATAGTTCTTGCTTATGGGTAGTAAATATTGTAAACTTTATGGATAGGAAAATTGTTTTTATATGTTATTAAATTTTTTTTGTGACTTGATAGATAATTTGACAAGTCAATAAATTTTTGTCTATATTTCTGAATATGATCAACCAACATGTTAACTAATCAATTAAAATAAATTGAATCAAATTTTGTTCTTTTTTCTAAGTTGCTTCGATATGATATGAAGGAAGTTCAGAAATTAACTTTCTCTTTATAAAGATAACTAATAAAAGACGGGACAAACTCATAAGTTTGAATTCGATCTAGAATTGAATTGAAACTCAACTTGTAAAAATGAAAGCCTATATAAAATTTTATTTTTCTAATTCACTAACAAAATATAATTAAAATATTATATATATATATATATGTGTATATATATATTGTCTATTATGTTGATGTGTGAATATACATCATAAATATCCCTCAATTTATGAAAAATTTCTTAGTGTAATTTTGGATTTAAATTTTTTTACTTCCAAGTAAATTATCACCTTAACTAAATAGATTTTTATTTTTTAGGTGATGTTATATAAAAGTGGCAAAATCAATTGAGAGGTGGCCCCAAAATAAAAGAGGCAAGACCTCGGCTGCCATAACCAGAAGGATACTCTTTAGTGGGATAGCGTATTAAAAGTGACAAAGTAGTTTGTTAATTAGGTAGGAGTCCTCCAACTTTTAAATATTAGGTAGAAGTGACAAATATATAATTAACATTAATGAAATTAAAAAATCTTTCCTCAACAGCCCCAAACTTTTAACTTTTACACTTTTACCCTATATTTTTTACCTCAAAATACCTAAAATTTCACTAAAATATATGAGAAGAAATTTTTCTCACCTGCAGCGTCTTCAACACGAGCTTGAAGGACAACTACCAAATCTTCAACGAGGCTGAAGTATGCTTCTCAATTCCCTTCTTCTTCTTCTTTTTCTTCATCTTCATCATTCTTAATTTGTAAGCATATATGTGGTTTATGAGAAGATCTATCAAGAAAATTTTGTGAAAATGGATACCAAAATTTTTTGAACTTTTTGCATTGCATTGGTTCCGTTTTATCTTGAAATTAACTCAAAAGAGAATTATTGATAAGTATAAAAATTACTTTGTGTCCATTCTTCAGCTAGGTTTATTAAATCTAATTTGATTATTTCAGCCAACAACTTTCGTAGTTGTCTAGACAACTGCTGAAGTTGTTTGTAGAAATAAATAAACATCTCTGTCAGATATAGAAATTGTCTAACAACAGTCTGTAGCTATCGGACGATTATAGAAGTTGTCCCAACAACTACTGCAGTTGTTTGACAGTTGTGTTCAGTTGTTGGTCAACGGATTAGTTTTTAGGACAAGTAATATAATTGTGGACAAAGTATTAATTGTTGAAATAAATAATTGAAGAATTATAACAGTCTCCAAAGCTACTAAACTTTTATGCCAATTGTTGATAGTTGTGAGGTAACTAAATAGATGTAAAACAAGCAATCAATGTTCTTTTGCAATTTTGCAGTTCTTTGATGAATGTCTTACCTGTGATGTCTCCAGGTATTGTTTCCCTCTATGGAAGACCATATAATAATAGGAGTTGATTTACATGGTGAATGGGTGGAGAATCCTACTCGTTATACTTGGCGTTCGAAGGGCCGAGAGACAGTACCGATAAAGATAAGCGAGAATGTTACGTACGATGAATTGGTTGACATCATTGTTTCTAGGTTTGAATTAGATTGTGATAAAAATGATCTCTCTATTAGTTACATGCTTGGCTTTATTGAAAAGCAAAAAGGAGCTCCTTCTAGGATAAGAAACGATCTTGATTTGCGATTTTTTTTGGATGATCAAAGTAGGCCAATTTTAAGGATATCTGTGGTTGAGAAGATTATAGAGACTACAAATTCAGTTGTAAATGATGAAGAGCATTCTGTTACAATGGATATTCCTATAAATGAGGAAGCTTCACTACATTCGATATCAACACAAGGTAGCCGCTACACAGATGATGACGGCACAGATTTTTATAAGGGTAAAATTTTCAAGGACAAGCAAGAATTAACTAAATTGTTGAAGCTTGCTTCCGTGAAGAAAGATCAAACATTCAAAGCTGTGAAGAGTTCTAAAGATGTGTATTGTGCTAGATGTGTAGATCAGAATTGTGATTGGTGGTTGCGAGCTACAAAACTTAAAAGTTGTAATAGATTTGAAATTACAAAGTATCGCAACATTCACTCATGTGGGGCACAACACCTTACAAGTCATCATTCACATGCCTCAGCAGATGTCATTGCAGAATACATACAACCTAATTACTTGAATGGAAAAGGTCCCTCCACAAAAGACATAAAAAATATAGTGCAAGCAGATTTGGGCTGCAAGATTAGTTACTGGAAGTGTTGGAAAAGCAGTGAGATAGCAAATGCTATGATAAGAGGGACACCGGAGCACGGATATGCAGTTCTAGATGGTT